CCCATGCAGGCCAAAGAGGATGAAAAGGACCTTCTTATGTCTATGCGCTTCACACGGTCAGGGAGTAAATGAGAACTTTCGCGGCATACGATAGAACTTGGGGGCTACAGGGATCCATCGATTGTGGAATGGGAAGAAGAAAATGGAAAACGTATTACGATACGACCGCTCCCTGCAAGGATGGCTACTACAACGTGTACACCTCCACCTGGGTTGGCACAAGTTGGTACAGCAAGCGTGAGCCAATTTCGCGCGTGTGGGACACCTCACATAGTCGAAAAGGGGACAACATGTGAAGTGGTTTCATCACCGCAATCATCGGGGACAAGAAGGTGATGCTGCTCACCATGCCGGTGTATTCTAATGAGACAGGCAACTAAAAGGACCGGCTACATCTTTGGATGACAGACAATGCCCGTGTGCACGACGTTGGGCTGATGTCTCGTGAGGATGATGACGCCACCGCCAGCTCCCTGCTGTACAGAGCCGACAAGAAGGAGTTGATTTTACTGTACGAGAAGAAGAACGGAGGTGAGTCGTACAGCCTTGTCTCCGTGCGCCTCACTGAGCCGCTGAAGCAGATAAGGAGCGTGGTGAAGGCTTGGATCGCATTGGGCACCGCACTAACAAGCTGCACTCCAGTGGCAGAGATGACCCGCGGATAAAGAATGTGTGTAAAAGTGTTGTTCCCACGGAAGGGCTGATTGGCTTTTGGTCCAACAGTTTGGAGGGGAATTTATGGAAAGACGAGTACCTTGGAGTGAACGCAACGGTGCATGGTGGGAATGTGGCAGGCACGGAGGGGGGCGTGAGGTTCCGAGGCGCAGCAGCGGGGGCGGAGTGGCCGGTGGACAACAAGGGGCAGTTTCAGCCGTACTACTTTGTGAACAACGAGTTCACTCTTGTGGCGACGGTGATGATTAACGCGGTGCCGGAGACAGAGGGTACTGTTCCTTTGATGGGTGTGAGGATGAATGACAATGCCAGCACTGTGCTTGTTGGTCTGTTCTACACGAAGGACAAGAAGTGGAGTTTCAAACTTGATAATGTTGATGCTGAAGTGGAGGATGACGATGATTTTAAGTGGACAATAAACAAAACCTATCAAGTGGTGGTGAAAATGAATACAAACGAGTGGTATGTGCACGTCGATGGAATGAAGATTTACAACGGGGAATGTGGCGGCACTCTGTTCAATTCACACCGGATCTCACACTTCTACTTTGGTGGCGACAGTGCGGCGGAGGGCAGAACGACCAGCCACGATGTGACGGTGACGAACGTCCTGCTGTACAACAAATTACTTGTTTGTGAGGAGATCGAGGAACCGAATGCTGGCAAATTCACTTTTCCACAGCCGGCTGCGGAGGAACCAGTCGTGGAGCCGCATGTGTTTCAGCCACTCAGCGATGCTGTGCAGGGGCCTAAAGATGCCCACATCGGCGACCAAGCGTATGACGGGGGAGTTGTATACGAGGGAGACGCCGATGCCAGGGATAACCCTCCGGCTACTGCGGTGCCACCACCACCGCCGTCGGGTGCAGCACAGCAGCAGGTGGCAGCAGCTCAGCTGGCAATCAGGGCATTGCTGACCAGAAGGAAAGTGTGCGGCCTGTCAATGGCGGGAAGGTGCCGGGTCGTGAGGACGGAGAAGCTGCAAAGGAGCAAACAAACGATAACGCAGCAGGTGCCGCTCTACCAGGCGCTGGCACCGCAGCAAGCGGAGCTGCAAACGCCAGTGGGGAGCAAATGTCTGGCCCCGGAGCAGAGACCGTTGCACCTGAAGCGGCGGTGGCCCCAGGCGGCAGCTCTGCTGCAAACAATGACGCCGGGCAGGCTCTCACGAAGGACACAAGCGACATTTCTCCGTCTGGCTCAGTTGAGCTGTCTAATGGAGACAAT